AAAGGATGATGGGGTTTTTGTTTTGGCTTCAATGGAATATCATCATCTTTAAACCTATTTTCTAAACTCATCCAAGAGTTGGTTTTATCCTACCCTACAGATACATTCATGTTAATTCTTCATTACATTTGGATCTTTAAATTAATATTGACCGACATGTCACCATGTCTCACAACACAGATGTAAAAGTAATCATTTAAACCCTTTAATGTGTGATTTTATTATTATTACTCAAGGCAATGAGAATTACAAAATAACTGGCTCACTGTTGGAGCACCTGACTCCTGTCTGTGTGACGTTCCTTGTGCTTTGGTGGTTCCCCACATCTAATTCTGAAATGTCTTACCTGAATGTGAATGGTTGTTCATGTCTGTGATGAACTGTGACCTCTCCAAAGTGCACCTCCCTTTTTCCTAGATAGTATAAGGGGCAGCAAGGCAAAAATGGGGGGATCTGGCCGTCTGGCTGGGGCCTGGGGTGGTGGGTCACTTTGCTCGGCGATGGGTGGGGGAGCCTGCTCATCAGCACCCCAGCAGGAAGGGTCAAAATCTGGGAACCGGTGATGGTTTTACACTTTGTGCAGCTGTACCGGGACCAGAGCAAATAGGGCGTGTATGGGGAGCATGAGTGAGTGTCTGGCGTGCATTTTTGTATGTCTTAGGTTGTATGTGTATGTGGGAGCATGAGTTGAGGGAGTGTGTGACTGTCTTTGTGTATGACTGTTGTAATGATCTGAAGTTGTATATTTATACACTGTAATTAGATCTAAGTAATCAATCAGAAGTGGTTGTTTTTATCATCAGGGAGTTTACTTAAACACTCTGTATTGACTGAGAGACAAGAAAAGAGAGAGTTGGGATCGTTTAAGAATCTTTAATTTCTATAATTATAAATTCTTACTATCTACCAGGACTACCTCAATGATGAATGCATATGGATTTGGATGTATCGTGTTGGTGTGTGTGTGTGTGTGTGTGTGTGTGTGTGTGTTGTTCAGAATCTCTAGGCTGACGTAGCGAATCTGGTTGTTATGACTAGGCTACCACGAGGCTTCAGAAGCTGATGACATGAGCCGCCATTTTGCCGTATTTACGTACCCAGGGAGAGTCTCCCGTGTTAGATCAGGAATTGCCAGGTTCTCGGACCTTCAGATGTACTGGAGCTGGTTGAAACAGCGGTCACAGCACACAACGCCCGTCTGAAGGGTCGACTCAGGTAGCATCGGCAGGCGTCAGCAAGTTCACTCTTATTTTGAAGGAACGTCGGCTCGTTGGTTCAAACGACGGAAATCTCCAGCTTGACAGTTCTCAGCTTAAAACAGGAAGTACAGCTAGCCAGCCTGTACTTCTCTTTTGGCGGTGATGGATTGAGAGCTGGTTGAAAACAATGTTGAGAGTATGATGTAACTCCTTTGGAGCTCGGATCGAACAGAACTGATGTTAAAATGGAACTGCCTATAAAATGGCGTTGCCTTATTTTATATCCCTTAATTGTTTACAAATCTTAGCAAACCGGATTGGACGACTTTCATTAAACAACCCAGATTCTGCCCTACGACAGACAAAAGTTCTGATTGGTTGAAAACAATGTGTCATGCATTTCCATGGTAATGTAGATCAGTCTGTCTGGTGCAGCCCTGTTTATTCATTAAACACATAACTCATGACATCTTTATTTCGCAGATCATTCACCTGATTATTAATGATCAACATATGCTTTGATTAGCTTTATCACGAATAAAGTACTTTAATTAAAGGAAAGCGTTCTTCTTCTCTTCTTCTGGAATGTAAACATACTGAACCAAGCGTTCGACCTTGGTGATGTTACTGTGTGAAGGGGCAGCTGTTAAGGGCAGACCATTATAAGCTTCATAACGCTACACTGTAAATGTCAGGTGGGGCCTTTGACTCCTCCCTTCTCCTGGGACTTCTTTTGCTGCTACACATCTTCGCCTCCCCTCCCCCTGCCACACTTGGTGTGGAGTGTGGTGCCTTGGTCTGCCTGAGTGTTCGCAGCTCCCGGGTCAGGGGGTTTAAGATTTTTGGCGTCTGCCTGATTAATCTCTGTGGCTGCCTGGTGGGATCTGAGTCCCTGGGCTCGGTTGGGTCCCTGGTGGGACTGGTCGCCTCTAGGTCCCTAGTCGCTGGGTTCCGGGCTCAGCCGACGTGGGGGTGGGAGGCTGTGGGCGGGCCTGTGGGCTTGCAGCTGATATCCCCCGGGACCCCAGATATCCCAGAGCGCAGGGACCCCAGGGAGACTGTAACCAGCCCCTGCCCCCCTCGAGAGGTGCAGAGGATCGCCCCGGGGGGCCACAAATAGCAGTCCCTGCGCTCTGGGGCAGCTCCTGGATCTCTGAGACTTCGAGCTCCTTCCATCTCCTACACATCTTTGGGGGTCAGATCTGTGGCCCCTCACACTCTCTATTGGACGCTCCTATGGAGAAACCTTACATATGCAAGTGCGTGTACTCACACAGGTGCTCTCATGGTGCTCTCATAAGTATGGACTTCGGCATTTTCAACACGTCTTAAGGCTGTGGTTGGCACTTAATGCACTGTGATTTATTATCGTTTGATTGTTCAGTAAAACAATGTTGATTTTATATTTCCTCATCAGGTTGACGCAGTGATTGTTTGCTCCTGATGTATTGTTGTTTTTCTTTTTTTTCTCTCTCTCTTGTAGGTCTAGAAGCAGACTCTTGTTCATCATTGATTGTTTACTTTTGTAGCTCATCACCTCCAGTGTGTGAATGGATGAATGATACACTGTAGTGTAAAGTGCTTTGGAGTCCTCTGACTCTGAAAGGTGCTATACATGTGTGGGTCATTTATCATAAACAACTAACTTTGGCCATTGATAACAAAGATAAGATACAGTTAGTTTGTTTTTTCAGCATTTCATTTTTATTTCTCTGGATAAATTAGTACTTTTTTGATTTTCTGTGGCTGAATAATGATTTACCTGAAGCTTTTGATTAATAATGTAAATGTGTTTCATCTCAGGAATTAAACAAATGTAAAAATAAATCTTAACACCTTCCTGTCAAAGTGAGCTCAGACCACCTCCAGATGCCTTTTGATTGCAGATGTATCATGCATGGATTAGCACCTTTTGAAATGTGTTTATGAAGATTTCATTTATTTTATCACATTATATTAATATCTAATGCAGATTAGATTTTTATAACTGACTTATTCTGACAACGCAATTCTAAAACTGCCTTTTAAAAGTGATGTGTGCCCTAAACAATGTATGAGAACACAAAATTAAATCAACGGAATCCATTTTATTTATTAAAATGTCAAATATTCTTTCTGTTGCTGGTTTTCCACATTCAGATGTCACATCTTCTCACATCTTGTTGATCTCAGTGCTGTATTGCTCCTTTGTGGCAATCATTAAAGACCTCCTGTGAGTGAACAAACATAACTGCAGAAATCCATAACCTAAGGCTAGTTAGATACTACTTTGTCCAGTGGATGAGCTCATCTTTAGTTTAAAAACAAAACCACCAGCGGAGTAAAGGTCCCAATGAGACTTATCTCCTTGATTTATAATGTTTCCTCCTGAGCGCCCCGCTCCCTCTTGCCCTGCTGTAAACAGTCACGAACAGGTAGCTTTTTAATTCTGAGCAGAGCTGTCGGTGAACTTTCACTGCAGGTGTTGTTAGTTGTGTTTTCTTTTATGACTAGTTGCAGTTGTGAGCCAGTACATCCAGATCTCCTCAAAAGGGTGGTAAAAATGTAAGGAACTGACAAGGCAGATATCAAAGATAGCCTACTTCCTTCGGCGGGCGTGAGATCTCACTAGATTTTCTATCTTGTGGAAAATAGCTGCAAGTTTGTGTGTGAGTGTAGCAAAGCAGTTTGCTTGAAAAGGTGCCATTCTCATAAAAGATTAATAGTTCCCCGGTGGCCCTGAGGCACCCAACCCAACAACTCCAGAATCATAAATAAAACTAAACGGATCAATATTTCCAACACTGTAGCAGTAACCTATGGCTACCCCTTACCTTGAGAAAGAAAGCTTTGAGAAAGGTTAGGTTTTAATCGAAGCCTTCCTCAGGTAATAATAAAGTTTGCCATTTATCATCTATACTGAAAACCAGAAACTGGCCTACATGCTGTGACTGTAACTGTAGAAACTACATCTGATGTAAACCATTCCCTCCAAAGCGCTGAGTTATTTGGATGGTGACACAGCTGAGTCACGTTCTTTTGTAATCTGGAGCAAACAGACAGTCATAGATGTATGACTGATCTCTGGATTGGAAATGAGGCATGCATTCTCCAAACTGCCAAGCCCAGCTGGATATTCATCAGCCTTTATTGACTGGGGTGCCAAAGCAGAATGAGGTATTACAGCAGGACAGAAATCTCTCATGACAAATACTGCCATTTGCCTGTAGTTTGCAAGCCCATTATCTTGGCAGCAACATGATAATAATCATGATTTATGATTTGGTTGGACAACCTGCTCTGTCGCTAAAGACCCTGCAAATATTTTCATATGTGGTGTGTTGAGATTGTTTTGTCAGTGCTTTGTTGCATAATACATCTACAGAAGTTCTAGACTGCATGGTGACGCAGCTGTTAGCACTGTTGCAGGATAGGATGAAGATTGCAGGTTTGAATCCCAGATGTGGCATGTTTGCATTGACTTAGCACCTCCTCCCTATGCATGTGTGGGTTTTCTCTGGGTTTCATTGCATGATAGGTTGACTAATGGCATTGCTATCAGAAAAGTATATATTTTCAAAGATTGTTGCAGAAAAACTCTACAGTGGTGTTGATGCCTTTACATCTTTAAATCCCTGCAGCAAACGATTTTTTTTTTCATCTTAAATCATTTGAATGACAAGCTGTTGTTCACTTCTCACTAGAAACCTTCTGAGTTAGATGTCCATGAAAGAGAAAAGCTTGCTGAAATGTTCCTGGAGAGGAAAGCAGCAGCTCCTGCCAACTCATTTATGTGTTTTATTCTTTGTTTCTTCCCACAAGGGGACTGATGCCACGAACGCTAGACAGCCAGATCACATTGGAGAAGACTCCCAGCTACTTTGTGACGAGAGAGGCTCCCCGCCGCATCTCCAGAATGTCTCACGAAACCAAGCTGATTGTTGTGGTGAGAAACCCCGTCACCAGAGCCATCTCCGACTACACGCAGACTCTTTCCAAGAAGCCTGGCATCCCAACATTTGAAGAGCTTGTCTTTAAGAACAGAAGTTTAGGTGTTGTGGACACTTCTTGGAATGCCATTCGGATTGGGATGTACATTGTGCACCTGGAGAACTGGCTGCAGTACTTCCGCCTGTCACAGATGCACTTTGTGAGTGGCGAGCGGTTGATAACAGACCCAGCAGGGGAAATGGGCCGTGTCCAGGACTTTCTAGGTCTTAAGCGAATAATCACAGACAAGCACTTCTACTTCAATCGAACCAAAGGTTTCCCCTGTTTGAAGAAACCGGAGAGCAGCAGCCAGCCACGGTGCCTCGGCAAATCCAAAGGCAGGACTCACGTGCAGATCGAACAGGACGTCATCGAGCAGCTGCAAGAGTTTTATAGACCGTTTAACGTTAGATTCTATGAAACTGTGGGGCAAGATTTCAAATGGGAATGAATCTTTAAAGAGACTGTGTTCTTAAATGACCTACCTCTTAGAAAAGTTCAGTTAGAATCTATTTCACAAACTGTTTTTGTAAGTTGTATATAAAATTCAGATGGATATGAAATAACCTACTTATTTAAAACATAGCTGTATAGATACTGCACATGTGAGTCATTCTGGAGACAAGTACAAAAATGAAATGAAGAATTTGTTTTAATCCATTCTTCAAGCTTTACAAAGCAATGATGACGTTGCTTTAAATATTTATTATTCAGAGTTATTATTTTTACTTTATTATCACTTCCTGTGAAAATGATCTGCTGTCTTTACTTTTAAAAGGAACACTCAAAAGGTCAGATGAATAAACTCAGTCTGTCGTTTATCATATAATAAAATTGGTCTTATTATTGCAGGTGGTATCAGGGGTGAACGAAACACATATACTGAGAGTGAAGGACAGCTTTATTACGAATAATGATTTTACTTAATAGGTTTCACCTCCTGTTGGAGTTTGAATGTTTGTGTGTTTGTTTTTTTGTTGTTTTCATCAAATAAAATCTGGAGTCTCCAATGAAACCAGTTAGAGACGATCTGAGCTTTGTGACATGATGCATCATCCAGCTGGAAGTGGCCATCAGAAGATGGGTCCGTGTGGTCATAAAGGGATGGATGGTCAGCAGCAATACGCAGGTAAGCTGTGGTGTTTAAACCAGCCTCAGGTGGTACTCATGGATACAAAGTGAGAAAATAGCATCACCACCACCATCACGCCAGCAGCCTGAAGCATTGACACAAGGCAGGATCTAGATTCTGACCCGACCATCTGAATTTTGCAGCTGAAATCCAGACTCATCAGATCAGTCTCTTCTGGTCCAGTTCTGGTGATCCTGTGTGAATCTTAGGCCTAGTCCACACGTAGCCGGGTTTTTTTTTAAAAACTAATATCCGCCCCTCCAAAAACTTGCATCCACACCACCTCATTTTAAAAAAAACTCTGTCCACACGTACCCGGATAAATACGTTGTTAAGGACATGCCAGACCTGTAGGCGGCAGTACTTCCCCCGTTCTTAACCTCATCCTTCATCTGTGGTCTTCCGCAAGCAGCAGTAATTCCACTTGCAAAAACAAACAAGCAAAAAGCGCTTGGACGATTGATAAAGCGAGCGCAGCTCTGAGGGAATCCATGCTGTTGGCTAGTGTAAACACAGGTCGCACACGTGATGTCAGCATTTTTTGTCGCGGAAAGTGACGTTGCGAACCTTAAAACTCCGGTTTTGTCCGTCCACACGCAGACACCCAAAACGGAGAAAACGCAGATCTTCACATTGGCCGGAGTTTTTAAAAAGATCCGTTTTCATGTGGATGACAGGCCAAAACGTAGAAAAATATCTACGTTTTGGCAGATCCCCGGCTACGTGTGGACAGGGCCTTAGCCTCAGGTTCCTGATCTAAGCAGACAGGAGATACGCTTCTGCTGCTGGAGTCCATCTGCTTCATGAATCCAGAGATTCTGCAGACCTGTTGGAATTAATTTAATATAAATTAAAAGTCTGAACTGATTATTTTCTGTCTAGTTGCTGCTTTCAGCAGTGATCTGTAAGAACAGTTTGTTGTTCCTCTAAGGTCCGGTAGCCAAATCAGTAGAATTGGACATCCTGGGAATGGGAGCAGGTGAATGTATTCCTGCAACAAAAGCATAAAACCATTTTTCACTCTGCTGCTGTAGAAGCAGCCTTTAGCAACACCTCTAGTTCTGATCATTCCTTTTATTTTGTTCAAATTTCGTACTTTTCTCTGAAAAGATTGACTCTTGTAACGTTT